CTTCACAGACCACAAAAGCCTACAACACATATTCAACCAGAAGGAGCTCAATATGAGACAACGACGGTGGGTCAAACTACTCAATGACTACGAATGTGAAATTCGTTATCATCCGGGTAAAGCCAACGTAGTAGCAGACGCCCTAAGTCGGAAAGAATATTCTGGTTGAAGAGTCAAGTCATTATCAATGACTATCTATTCACATCTATCCGCACAAATTAAGGAGGCTCAGCTCGAAGCCTTAAACCTGAAAATGTACGGGAGAATCCCTGCGTGGAATGGATAAAAACTTAGAAGTCAAGGGTGACGGAGCCTTATATCTCATGGACCGGATCTGGACACCATGACACGGTGGCTTCAGAGACTTGGTCATGAAGGAAGCGCACAACACACGATATTCCGCCCACCCGGGTTCAGATAAGATGTATCTGGATCTTAAAAAGTCATACTGGTGGCCTAACATGAAAGCGGAGATCGCTACCTTCGTAAGTAAATGCCTTACTTGCGCCAAGGTCAAGGTCGAATACCAGAAACCATCAGGTCTACTCCAGCAACCGGAGATACCTAAATGGAAGTGGGAGTGGATCACTATGGACTTCATAACCAAGCTACCCAAGACAACGGGTGGACTTGATACCATTTGGGTCATCGTCGACAGATTGACCAAATCCACACACTTCCTGCCCATCAAGGAAACTGACAAAATGGAGAAGCTCACACGAACATACATACGGGAGATTGTACGACTGCACGGTGTTCCCATATCCATTATCTCGGACAGAGATAGAGAGTTCACTTCGAGTTCTGGCAGTCACTACAAAGCTCCTTAGAACGAGGCTGGACATGAGTACAGCCTACCATCCACAGACCAACGAACAAAGTGAGAGAACTATCCAAACCTTAGAAGATATGTTGCGAGCCTGTGTGATCGACTTTGGGAAGGCATGGGATACCCATTTACCCCTTATCGAATTCTCATACAACAACATCTATCAGACGAGCATCAAGGCTGCTCCATTTGAAGCCCTCTATGGTCGGAAGTGCAGATCCCCTCTGTGGTGGGCTGAAGTGGGTGACACTCAGTTAGCTAAAGGACGAATTCCTGACAGCACTCTCATGGGTCCGGAGATCATTCGGGAAACGACAGAGAAGATCGTTCAGATTCGTGAACGATTGAAAGCCTCCAGAGGACCGACAGAAAAGCTACGCAGAAAAACGAAGGAAACCTTTGGAATTCCAAGTGGGAGACCGAGTCCTTTTGAAAGTCTCACCCTGGAAGGGCTTGATACACTTCGGAAAGCGTGGAAAGCTAAATCCAAGGTACATAGGGCCTTTCGAGATTCTCGCTAGAATCGGCCCCGTAGCTTACAAACTCAACTTACCCCGTGAGCTTAGTAACGTACATCCTACCTTCCACGTCTCGAACTTGAAAAAGTGACTATCCGATGAGACTCTTGTAATCCACTCGACGAGATCGAGATCAACGAGAGCCTCAACTTCGTGGAAGAACCTGTAGAGATCATGGACCGAGAGGTCAAGCGAACGAAACAAAGCCGCATCCCAATCGTGAATGTTCGCTGGAACGCCAAGCGAGGACCGGAATTCACATGGGAGCGCGAGGATCAAATCAAACTTAAATACCGTCATCTTTTTACTTAGTTATTTGTAAATAACTTAGTTGCTCGAACTCTAATTTCGGGACGAAATTCCCTCTAACGGGGGAATGATGTGACAACCCGAAATTTCCGACTTATACGTTCTTCATTTTTATCAAAGTTAGCCTCGTTTTGCTATTTTGTAATAAAGTTTGGGTCTATATAAGTGCTATAGGCTTAATATAATCAAGATATGAGTCTTAGGAAGGGTTGTGTATGCATCACAAAACCGTCCAACACACCAAACAAGGTGGTGTGCGGCCGCACAACCCAGTGTGCGGCCAGCCAGCCGCACACAGTCGACCGCAAACACTCCTCTAACCTCACACTCCAACCTATATAAAGGCCCCTAAGTCAACCTTACACCCTTTTTCCCACTCCTTCAAAGCGGGAACATTTTCTCTCTAGAGTTCTTCAAGTTTTCTTCTCCAATCGACAATACAAGTAAGTAAACATCCTTAGATCGTTACTACAACAAATTAGAAAGCCTTATTCTCGGTTTTGATCCATGAAATCATTGTTCTAGATGATCTTCATGTGTGTATGGCCGCACACACGTCATGTGTGACCGCACACACATCTTTTGGTCCTAAAATGGGCTTAAACACCCATCCAAGCTTAGCATCGACCAAAACACCTTCTTAGGATCATCCCCAAGCCTTGAAAAATCGATTTGGACAAATTTAGGTGGGAGTGTACGGTCCCACACAGGCCTGGCCGCACACTCTGGCCCACACACCATGTGTACGGCCGCACACACCATGTACAACCGCACACACCCTTTTAAGGGCCGAAAATGACAACAAACTCCTAATCCGGTTAAGAAATGGTCAAAACACCTTCACTAGAACATCCCAAGGGCTTGGAACCACGTTTTGACACACTTCATAGTGAGTGTGCGGCCGTACACACACCCTGGCTGCACATTCTGGCCGCACACACATAAAACCCATGATTTTGTGGCCTTACACTCCAAAATAGGGCCATACACTCCTTATGTGCAACCATATGAGTTGGTAACACTAAATTCTAAGTGTTTTTTTAATGTCCTTAAGGCATGTCCCTATCACCATTAGTGGTTATATCTACTAATGTATTCACGTATGTGTAATTATATGTTGAATAGGATTCGTTTGTGCTCGAGACTCCATTTGACACCCAACAATCCTATATCGATATTCCATTCGAGTTACTCACTGCAGGTGAGTTCATACCCCTTAATCAACCTTTGAAATGATTTTAAATGCTTTTATTGGGGGGGGGGGATACAAGTTGAAACATTCTAGTTATTGCTTTAATTACATGTGATTAATAACTAGAAAAAACAGAAATATTTTCTATTGCTTCCAAATTGCTATCAAACTTATGGATTTTCAAGTGTTTCAAACATTTTATTAAACTCTTTAAATGCTAAAACTGTTTTCAATTTCTTTTAAACTTACATTATTTTCAAACCCATATCTACACCCATATATTTATATAAGTAAGACTTGAAGGACTTAGGACTGATAGCTCACCTTATTTCATGTTCTTGTTTGGTTGTGGACTTAGGGTATTCTGTTATTTGTCCGACTGTCGTTTAATTCATAGTTATATATCATATATATGTGTTAGATATAATGGTTTTCACTTCAGTTCAGTACCTTTGTGTAACAAAGGCATGCAAATAACATTACTATTTAACTATAATAGGTATAGTTAAGGATTAATACTCATTACTAGTATTACAATGACACTTACCAGAATCAGTTCAGTTATGAATCAACACTCATTTTATACTCTACAAGAGAACACTCTGTACATTATACAAGAAAACATACTATACAATATACAAGAGAATACACTATATACTACTACAAGAAAACATTACTACACTATGACATACTACATAAACATTTAAATACTATAAAAAGAATGTGACATACTATTTCTCGATACGACACTTTATTGTGCTATCACTTTGTAACCAGAGTCTCCTGGAGGGAGAGCGGCATTGTGTGTATAGATCTATACGGGACAGACACTCCTGCATCCTGACTGCTAGCTACAGTCCCAGCCGAAAGGCCAAGGAGTGACAAAATGCTACCCCACTATATATGACGTGGAGGGTCATCAATTATTCAGCCGTCGATCAGCATGGTTACATACGAGTTCACATTCAAACCTTTAATTAACCAATTAAGAACTAAAGGCAAGAATAGACTTTTCGAGGCGTATTGTTCATTTAATACCACCTGGAGTCTACACATTACTAAAATAGACTTTTCGAGGCGTGTTGTTCATTTAATACCACCTGGAGTCTACACATTTCTATTTTAGACTCTCCGAGGTGTACTGTACATTTAGTACTACCTGGAGTCTATACTTCATTATTTTGTGATTTTGTCACATACTCGTTTAAGTAAACCATATTTTCATACATATAGTTTCACTGGGGAAAAACCCTTACATTTACAAAAGAACAGATATACAAACAATCGGGTCTTGGTAGAAGACTACTTTTTACTAGGAAATATAGGATTTTCTAGGGAGTATACTATTTACAAACATTGAAATCAATTATTGAACTACATTGTTGTAAACATTTTTATACAAGCAATGACACTAAATACTTATGAACTCACCAGCCTTATGCTGATAAACTCTTTCAAAATAACTTGTATTCTCAGGTCATCAGTAGACAGGTACAGATGAAGCTTTTGAGAAGATGGAGCACATACAAGACTCATCTTTTATTTTGATTATACTTTTGGTGTCTTACAAACTATACATAACACGCTTGTATTACAATTAATGCAATGGATGTTGTTGCTTGTCTTTACTATTATGCATTGTTGTGATACTGTACATGACGTCCTCCACCCCAGAACGTTTCCGCCTTTCTTGGTTTTGGGGTGTGACATGGAATATCCAGAAGCCTAGACAAGAATCCAATTAAAACAAAACACTCGAAAATTTAGAGAATTATCGGCAAGAAGTAGAAGATTGAGTTAATTTAGAGAGCCAATTAACGGAGGAATTGGACCGAAGGCTAAGCTAGACATAAGGTCGAGCACCTGGAGTGCACCCGTCTTCTTCCTCACGAACATCATCATCTTCTTCCTCTCTTCATATTCCAACCAACACCACCGCCCATCTCCGCCTCCGTCGATAGCTGGGTGCTCTAGAACCCTAGATTTGAGATAATTTGACACGATGTTGTTGAGCCCTTGCTACTTGAAGTCGATCACCTTTCTTACTCTGCTTCCCTATTAATTACAAACATAATCCAGTCAACACAATAGGATTGGAGCACGCTTCTTGCTAACAAGCACCAGTGAGGAGATAAGTTGAAGAACGAGGGAGATGGCGGTGAAGATTGACGTCGCTGCTAAAATGATAGTGGCGTTGGAGGTGGGTTTCAACGAGAAAAGGGGTGGCGGAGCAGGAGGACAACGATGGAGGTGGGGGCTAAGAGTTTCTTCTGGGTTTTTTCTTTGTATGTATTTTCCCTATTTGTTCTAAATGGAGATTCAGTATTACATTCTTGGTAAATTGATTTTGACTTTATAAAATCGAGAGCGGGAGAGGGAGAGAGAAAGAGAGAAAGAGAGAGAGAGAGATGTGGGCCCTCTCATTTTTTTAATAATTAAAATGAATAAATAATTATTAAATTAAAAAAAATGAATTTAAAAATGGAAAATAAATACCCCAAGGGTATTACAGTCATTTCACTATTCATAGGGACCAAAAACGCAACGAAACTAGCTCAAAAGGATCACCAATCCAAAAAAATCGTGGTTTGGACTAAAACCCAAAAAAAATGTCTGGACCATTTTTGCAATTTTGTCTAAATTTAATGATTTTTTGTTGAATCTTGACAAATATCTTTGCTTTTAACCTCCATCTTTACCATTACACCCTCCATTTCTTCATCGGCTCCTGCTTCCATCGATCCCTCCCATCACCTTCCTCAGATCACTCCGTCGCATCGACCACCCGTCCACCACCAACGTTAACCTGCATCGACTTTGCAAATTTATTATTCTATCAGTGCTTTTTCGGATTATTTACAGTGGCAAGCATCGACCACAATTATTTCATCGCCTCCTCTTTCCATCGTAACCTCATCATCTTCCTCAGCTTACTACGCCGCATCCACCACCACCACCGTTAACCTCCGCATCGACCAGGTAAATTTCATTCTCTCAGTACTTTTTTTTTCGTTTTAATTACAGTGGACAGATCATTTTGTATGAGCTTGGACTTGTTTTTATTGGCATTACTACAGGTCATTTGATTGAATTGCTTGAAATTTTTTGTTTTTTCATTTTCCTAAAGCTCTTACTCTTGCTGTTCTCTAATCTCTACTGGTTGGAGGTTATGTGGCTATTTTATATAGATGCAAAGCAACCGTTTGATGAAATGTCTGAAAGAAATTACAAAAAGATAGTTTTCTTTTGTCATGAATTTTGTTTTCTCAAGTTTCATTGGGTTGCAACAGTTTGAGATCGACGATGGTTTCGCTCAAAATGGAAGACATGTCTCTGCCTACACTCTTCGAGCAGGCTCATAAAATTCACCTTCTCGCAACTGATTCTGCCGTTGACAAGGTGTGTATGTATGTGTGTATTCATACATATATCTTCTTCTTCTTCTTGTTCATATACATGTATGTGTATATTGTGTTATGGGATCATAATTTATTGTTATTTATAGGAGACATTGAGAAAGGGTTGCGAAGCATTACAACAGTGCGAGGAAATGATTAGCAAATTAGGGTTATTTTCAGCTAACGAGACTAAGGAAGATATCAGTACTACAAATCTCAAATATATTCTGGTAAATACTAGTTTGTATCATTATCATCATCATTACCCTGTTTGTTCTTCATATAGAACTTATGTGCTTGTGCTGTTTTGTTATTTGGTAGATTTTATGTCATATTCTTTAAAGTTAGCTTCATGCGTTGTTGGATCAATGATACAACTTAGTCTCTTTGTTTTGTTGTTTATCAATCAACACGATGAAAAAGATAGGGTTTTGAAGTTGGGTTGTTATGGGAACAGGTGCCATTTTATATTGCTGAATTGATAGAGAAAAGTGGGCATGATGACAGGATTGAAAATTTGAAGGTTTCACAGTCTAAGATAAAGGTATTGCTGTTATCAATTGAAGATATGTATATACTATATACAAATACATAATGCATACACACACAACACAGCTAACTTTGAATGTATAGGAATTTCTTGCATTCTGTGATGCAATGGAGCTTGTACCTGAAGATGAATTGGAAACACATAGTGTTGTAGATAGAAGGGCTAAGAAGGTAATATAGCTTTATCTCCTACTAATTAAGTAAGTAATTCTTTTAGAAATATTAAGGTTTAGTTGGGTGATTGTAGATTGCTAGGTTTAAGAGGCAACGAGCTGCAGAGTCAAAGCTATTAGAATTAAAGGAACGCAAAGAACGACGTGGGCGTTCAACTAAAGCTGCAGCCCCCCTTTCTACATCTACTCCTCCCCCTGGAGATGATGATGATGATGATGATGATGATGATGATGTACTTGATGATGATGAGGAAAGGGAGGTGGGTTTTAGACACATTTTCAGTTCCTGAATGCACTTGATTGATTATGTTAACGTTTGAAATTTTGTATAATTTGTAGGCATGGCTAACAACAATCTCATTGGCTATCTGCAAGGTTAGTGTCATGTGATGTGGTGAAACAGATTTTTGCTTCAATTTGTTTTTCACACCTTTTCACTTTCTGTTATAGGCTCTTGATCTGATCGAAATGCTGAAGAAAGAGGAGGAGATGCTTTCTGCAATAAAGGAAAAGCAAGCGCAGGTACGGAGGAATATTTCCCAAAAAGATAAAATCTCCATCTTTTTTTGTTGATGTATTAATATTATTGTTATTTGTAGGAAGGAGGTATTGAAATTTCGGAGGCTATTCTGGAGGAACGTGCGAAAACCGTACAAGACTGGCATCGAAACGCTGCTGCTCGTGCTCGATACATGAAACCAGCAACACCGATAACATGTGCTACTTTTGCTCAGGATGTTTTGGAGGGAAGAGCAAATGTATCACAGCCACACGATCATAAACACCAACAACCACTCTTGTTTGGGCCTGCTAGTCTCGTGGGTGGTGGAAGTCTTCTAACAAATGATAGGGAAAGGATTGCTGCCCAAGTTTTCCAACCTGGTCACAGGTATCATCACTCTCTAAAAGTCTCATGTCACTTCTAAAAAAAACGTTTTAATCAATAAGGGTTTGTTTGATAGTTGCTGATTGTGATTCAGTCAGACTCAGTCTCTTATCACTTATTAGACCGAATCTGAGGCTTCTAATTGTGATATCAAACGGTCTGAATCTAACCAACAAGCTTTTTACCAGACTAAGTAAGGCATATCAAACAACCACTTAGAATAATGTGATTTTATATGAATAATGATTGATGGTGTGTGTTGGGTTTTAAGATTGCCAACAATGAGCATAGAAGAAGCTGGGATGAAGGAGATGGAGATGATGAATAAATGGCAAGAGAGGACTGCGAAGATGATAGAGGAAGCAAATTCTTCGTGGCATAACGACAAGTGGAAGCCGAGAGCAGGTGGTGGAGATGATGAAGATGAAGATGATGATGATGAGGACAGGGCAAGGGCTTTTGATGATTGGAAAGATGACAACCCTCGAGGTGCGGGAAATTCAAAGCTAACTCCTTGTGGCTGATGTGTCGCCGTGTCATTGGATGAGGTTACTTTTCTGTAGAATGATGAAGAGATAAACAGTGTAAGAGATTATGATGCATCACAAACTTGTATTTTCAAAACTGCTTTTTTAAATAGCCATATGTTTTTTTTTTTTTATGTTAGATTTGCAATAAGTAGTTATATGGTTGAAATTGATAAGCAGATGACGAAGTTGAAATGGGAAAAGGAAATACTGCAGATTGAAGAACCATTCTTGGCAAATATTTTTGAATTTAAGAAGTAGCAAGATTTTGTAAAACAATCATGTACCCATTTTAATTCAACATCCTTAATTAATTGTATTCAACACAAATTGGTCCAACAACCATCAAATCTTTAAATTCTTAATTCAAGAAAGATAGCTTGTATGAAATTAACGAAATTCTGTCGGTCTCCGACTATTCTTCAGCAACTCAAGGAGATCAACACCAAATCATAACTCTTTCCTTGGAAATACATGTCTACTTACGATTTTAGTTTGATGTTCATTAAAATTGTAGGTCTGAATACGTGAGTTTATAGTTTAAGATAATCATGCGTTCTTATTCTCTTAACAAAAAGATTTACATGGGATTTAGAAAGGGCATACAATGCAAAGTAAACAACGGAATTTTAAGGGGGAAGTAGATCTCGCATTCAGAGGGTGGATGAGAACAAGAAAATAAAAAAGAACAAATATAGCCAAGTTTTGTGAACTTTCCAAAATAAATTATAGATTGATCCATATACGATATACCCATGAAAATAATAGATGGGCCTTAACAAGCTGCGATTTCGTCACTTGAAATTTTGATCCATATAGTATATAACTTTTTTTTCTTCCGAATTTTGTTTCCTCTATAAATTCTCATATACAATTTCCTTACTCAAGTGAGATTGTAAATACATAACCTTATCCATTAAACACTTTTACAATCTTAAGTAAATCTCAAATGAGATTTTGGAGAGGAAACCACAGTTGTCATATGCGATGTAATAATGCCAAAATGGAAAAAAAAATGTTTATACTTTTGACAAAATCGCAACCCAAATAACAAAGTCGTAGTCCAATTAATGAAATTGTAGCTTGTGAAGGTAATCTGCAACTTCGATGGCTATGGGTAATTCCTTACTTTTTTTGGTTATTTTTAAGAAAAAAATTTAGAAAACTATGTCAAATTTATATTTTCTCATAAAACAATTGTCGCATAATGACTTAAAAAGTGTAATATATTTTTCAATTTGTATATATTTGGTCACTGAGTTTTTTTCGTCCATATTTACATGTTCAAGTTGTTTAAACTGTACACTTTTATTTTTTTATGACCGGTTACCCATGTAAGCCGAAAAAATGACTTAACAGGGTAATATATTTCTCACTTTGTACACATTTAATCCTTAATATTTTTGTGTTGCAAAATAAGTTCTTGTTGTTTTTGTACACATTCATACTTATGACCGTTTTCTTCAGGTCTTGCTCACGACATGTTACGTGAGACAATCATTAATGAGGTGTTCAGGGCTATTGATGCTTATGGCCACCGCGACCTCAACTAATTGGTTGCTTAGGTCTTGTGGTTTGAGACAATCATTAACTTCTTCATTCGATCTCGTATTTTAATGATTTTTATATCCATGCATTCGTATTGGAATCTACTACAACTTTCATTTAGATTACTCTTGTTAAAAACTAATATAATTTTACTTACAATCTTTATATCCATATATTCTTTATGATTGTATGTATGAACGTTTTTATATTTGCAGTCCAACGAAATCATGAATAACGCGTGTATATAAAGATTGTAAGTAAAAATATATTACTTTAGATTACTCCAGTTATTAGCGTAGGATGTTGTGAGCAACACCTAATGAATAATTGTCCCACGTAGGATGTCGTGAGCAAAACCTGAATGAAAGACCCCAACACTAAAATTACCATAAAGCCAAACATGCTACATGCATATTCATAATTATAATTCACATTAGTGGTCTAAATACAAAAGCATGGATACAAACCAACTAACAAGCTTTTTACAAAGTTTCATAACTAGTTGTATAAATACATAACTACCCAAAAATTTATAATACATATACATATAGGTATACCAAGTACAAACGTAGTAGTGTCAACTACTCTAAGTCCTCCAACAAAGCATGTCTACTCTAGATGCTTATCACCTGAAATAGTTAAACACTGAGATGGATAAGCAGGCGTCGCTTAGTGAGTTCAAAAATAGATACAATATAATGTTATGCCATATATATATATATATATATATATATATATATATATATATATATATATATATATATATATATATATATATATAAATATGACAGGAACAAAAAGAAACAAAGGACAACAAAGGCTTATATGTGTATCAAATGAAGGGCTTTCCAGACCAACCAATGATTAGATTCAAGGGGTTACAATCATTAGGATCATAAACACCATAAAATTACAGCCCAAGTGGCACATAAAACACAATTTCTGCTTATCATGTTGCTAGAATATACAGGCTTTCAGCCCTACGTAGCCTGAAGCCAATACCAAAGTGATACGAGTCATGCTCTACATGGCCAAAGGCACAAAGCTAATACCAAAGTGATACGAGTCATGCTCTACATGGCCAAAGGCATCAAAATCCAATATCAAGTAATAACCACTTAGATCAATAAAACAGGAAAGCACATTGCACATATAACACATAACATATAATTTTCCCTGTATTGAACTTACTGTGCTGTAACCGAATGTTGCGATAAAATTCCTCTTTTTCTGATGAAATTACACCATCCTCAGGCCTCTAAAACCTTCAATTATACCCCTGGAGTTCATATTTAAAATTTCATAAGCAATTACTCAACTAATCTCAAGTTATGTTGTTTTCAATTTAGAAATTTTAGTTTTTTGTTCTTTGTATAGCTGTCACTTGCAGATCTGTTTTACTCTTCTTAAATATCAAAATAACTAATAAATTTTAAATACTAACAAAATAGACTCTTATATCTTTCTAATTCCACTAACCTCACATTTTTATGATTTTTATATAATTTACTATGAATTTTACAATACTGCATCCCAAAGCTGTCAAAATGTCCCAAAGCTGTCAAAATTCAGCCTTACTGCACTGAACATATAGCTGTTTTCACCCATCTTAAGTCCGAAATTAGATTTTGGTGTTAAAACAAGAATCAAAGTAGACATTCTCAGATTTCCAGGGATATGTAGCACACATCCATAATATTTTTTCTACAATTTTTGGTGATTTTTACAAAAACATGACAATTATACCCTTTATGATTTCATTTTACCCTTTACATGATCAAACCTCATGATCTATATCACTAAGTTCTTGTTTTACAATGATAACACTGAATATTTTAGTAATCCATGCTAATTCAAGTATAAACCATGGGTTTCATTACTAATTTTCACTAATTACTCTTAAACCATGATTAATTCTCAAGTTTACATGTAATTACTTAATTTCCATTTAAGATTCTAGGTTAATAACATAAACTCATGCCTAATTTCATGAAATCAGTGGTAAAACCACTTTGATCAAACCCTAATCTCTTAATAACTCACTAATTACAACGGTTAATCCAAAAATTAAGAGTTCATACCTTGATTACTAGACTTGATACTTCAAGAACACTCAAAATCTTGATTTAATCTTCAATACTTGTTCAAGATTGATCATGTAGGTGAAAATCTCCCATAGGGACGGTGATGAACTGAAAATGGTAGAAAAATGAGCCAAAATCGTGTTTCAATGGGTAAAAACCTGAGTTGGGTCGGGTTTGACCCGATTTGGGTACCCGTTTTACCCCTAAACACTAAAAATTGCATAACTTTTCGCTCAGAACTCTGTTTTCGATGAGGTTTTCGCCTATACGTTTCTATCGAGATAATTTACAACTCCAATACTAATATACCAGAAAAGATCTTCCAATAAAAGCAGTTTTACATATTTCCAACTTAGACGTTATACTTTCATTAATTCCGATAGTTGACTTTTTGATCGGAATCACATAAGACTTCCCTATCACTTCCAATACCTTCCAAATGATTCTAAACTTAGTTTAACTTCAAATTTTATAAAAATATTTCGTTAGAACTCAACGCTCAAAACCATATCGAAAAATGGTGTTTTTAACACATATAATTCTATTCCATTATAACTACTTAATTTAAACGTTTAAAACCACATAATATCTAATACTATTCATTTTTAAACTAAAAAGCATATGAAACATGATAATTGAACACGGTTAGTAAAGTGTATGTTACAAATACCTCATCCTTTTGAGGATTTCGTCCTCGAAATCACAACGATTTAAACAATGTTGGATTAGGTGTCTAAGCCCATAACTATTATTGGTATGTACTTGACCTGAGAGTAGCATGGTCCATTTGGGTTGCATGATATCGGAACAATTTGGATAGACTTTTGTGAGAAGATGATATTTATGATTTATTAATATATTATAAGTTCTAATATATTAATATGAAATCATATTATTTAATTAGTATTGATCAAGAATTAGTTTGGAATTAATTTTGTGATCAAAAGAGACTAATTAAATAAATGGGGATTGATTTGGTAAATCATACATTCTTATAAAGTGGGCTTATGATCCATAGTTCTTCATGTTGGGCTAAACCCATGTGGTGACCCATGGATACTCCATGGAGGTTAAAACCCATGGATCATGAGGAATGTGGAAAGTCATGAGTTACATGGTGTAACCCTAATGTGCACACTATATAAGAAACCCTAAGGCTCATGAAATTGGCACTAGATTAGACCTTTAAGTGACAATAAGTGAGGGTTAGCCGATTTGTGAAGCAAGTCTTCTTCTCTCAAGTTATTCCAATTGTTGGTGGTGTTGTGTGATTCCATTTGAGGTGCAACACTTGGGGCACTAAGTTCTTAAAGGTTAAAGGCTTCCAACTACAAGAAAATGTATGTCATCTAACTTGTTTTATTACCCAAGTATCAATCTTTTGTATTCTAGTTAGGGTAATACCTTGGAAAGTTCAAGTTAGCATGTATAATAGAGAAAACATAGATCCAAGGTATTTAGGGTTGTATGTACACCTTAAGAGTGTTAGAATGCTCAAAACCCAACAAACAAGTGGGAATGGTTTTCTCTTATCTCGTTCTTATTTTCCCAAGTATAATTTGGGACTTGATGATGTTTCCACTTGACAAGCACCAACTCCACTTCTTTATTACGCAAATCAACCGTTCTCTCATTTATAATCTCTTCGGGTTCTTCTACATATCTTAATTTATCATCCAGTTTCACCTCGAATAACGAAACCGTTTCA